TAAACCTAATAAAAATATTATTTTGAAGTTATTCTTTTCTATTGACTTTTCAAGTTCGGTATACTAGAAACTGATATTTTAATTATTAATAACGGGACAGTAAAAAAATATTGAACTGAGATCCACTTTATTTTATTCTAAAATCTAATCCTGTCCATACAAAATATATATTGCTTTATTAAACATTTTATGGAAACAAAATAAGAGATAAACCAAAATAATTTAAAAATCATATAAATTTAAATATTAATTAAAGTATAATATCTGGGATTAAAGATGAAGATATATTTTTTCTTGAATAATTATTTTTGAAAAATATACCTGTTAAAAATTATTATAATTAACTATTTAATTTTTCTATAAAAAAAAAACTCTAAATTGTAAGTAGGTACTGACTCAATATAAAATTCCTTAACACTCGGGAACCCTGTACCTACCAATCCTGTTTCCAACTGATTGTGTTCAAAACGTACCGAGAGCAGTTAATTATAGTACTCTACCGAGAATAAATTTGAGTGCACGTCATTAGTATTATTAACAGCTTAAGAGCGTGTAATTTGTGGAAGTACCCAGTTTAGAAGTAACAAGTGTTTATAAATATGGATGCATGTTAACAACAATAATGGGGTAATAGCCAACGTAACTTCATTATATGCTATATACTGATATAATCTCTTTTAAATTTTTATTTAATTGGAAAGTCTATTTTCTAGAATTTTAATTGTTTTTATTCATTATTCATACTAATTAAATACTATTTAAAACTTAGAGACTTTAGAGGCTAATACCAGGAAAATAGAAAATAAATGTGTAGTTGGGATAAAAAGTTGAAGTATAATTTTATCAGCTCCCCCCCCCCTTCAAAAAATTCTTTTGGGTATTACGCTACTATAATACCCACCCAATAAGATTTTTTTTATTACTTAAATACCGTTGACAAACTGGTCTCCGTTGTTTACAAAAAATACCTATTTTATTTTGTAGATTTTCTTGCAGTGCAGTGGCCAAATAGCCATAAAGGATTTTTTTTGAAACAAAGGTGTAGACATTATTTATAAATCTATTATACAGGGTGAGTCTTAAATATACAGGGTTGTTTACCACATACGACACGGAGTATTGTAGCTAAACGATGAGATTTTTACAAATTGTAAGTTTGGGGTTTGTTGAAGGACTATTAGAGCTACAATTTAAACATATTTTTACAAGATACAGAGTGTCCCAAATAAATAAAAAATATCAAAGTTGTATTTTTTTAAATGGAACACCCTGTATATTATTACATTTTTAGTTTCTACGATTAAAATAAAGGTAAATTTGATTAAGGTTTATTATACTTAAACCTTACCGTTTTTGAAATATTTTCAATTTTGTGAAATGGCAGTAAAAATTTTAAAGCTTCATTTCTCCAAGGGTATCAGTGTTTTTAATACTAAATATTTAATAAAGTTTATTTATTGATCAGTTATTATGTTGCAATAATAAAAATAATACTACCTTATACAGAGTGTCTAAAAATTTATTTTACATAATTATTAGCTTCAAACGGCAATAACTTCTTTAATTTAAATAGAATGCCCTGTATATTTTAGGAGAATCAGATGCACAATTAAATTATCTATCAAATTGTATTATACCATTTTTTACCTATCCCTTCAAGTTTTCGTAGAAAATGCATTTTCTTATAATTTAGACATTTTAGATTGTTTTTAAAGCAACAAATGTACAAAATGTACAGACTAGTAATATTATCGTTTTTAGCAAAACGATAATATTACTAGCCCATTTGTATGCAAAAAGAAAACTATTTAAATCTTTATAAAAGAGTATACCATTAATTAAATATAACACCATTATTTCCGCCCATATACTAATTAATTACATACTTAATTGTGTTCGTTAATAAATTATTATAAATAAATGTGGATTTGAGTCAGAAATCAATATAATAATAAGTTATCAAATTAAAGTCTCTGTTGTTATAAATAAGCATTTATTAAAAAATGAAATATCATTTTTAAGGTGTTACATTTTATCACACTGTCTAATGCCCATACAAAATTCAGTTTTTTAGTATTTGGAGTTTGGAGCAATTATTATTAATCAACGCAAACAGTCAGTTAATGTAGTTTGAATACTGGAAACATATTAATTGGTCCTCTTTAACAAATATTTAAACAGTTTTTTTTTATTTTTTAATGAAATAAACGAATTATATCGACAATATTAGTATCTGTACTCTTTAAAAATTTGGTACATCTTTAAAAATAATCTAAATTGTCAATAGTCCATGGGTATATTGATAAATAAGTTCTAAATTACAAGAAAATGCATTTTCTACGGAAGCTTAAAGAGATAGGTAAAAAATGGTATAATATAATTTGATAGACAATTAAATTGTACATCTGATTCTCGTAAAATATACAGGGTGTTCCATTTAAATTAAACAAGTTATTGCCGTTTGAAGCTAATAATTATTTAAAATAAATTTTTAGACACTCTGTATAAGGTAGTATTATTTTTATTATTGCAACACAATAACTGATCAGTAAATAAACTTCAGTAAATATTTAGTATTAAAAACTTTGATACCCTTGGAGAAATGAAGCCTTAAAATGTTTACTGCAATTTTACAAAATTGAAAATATTTCAAAAACGGCAAGGTTTAAGTATAATAAATCTTAATCAAATTTACCTTTATTTTAATCAGACACTAAAAATGTAATTATATACAGGCTGTTCCATTTAAAAAAAATACAACTTTGATATTTTTTACTTATTTGGGACACTCTGTATCTTGTAAAATTATTTTTAAATTGTACCTCTAATAGTCCTTCATCGAACCCAAAACTTACAATTTGTAAAAATCTCATCGTTTAGCTACAATACTCCGTGTCGTATGTGGTGAACAACCCTGTATACAAATATTTCGGTATACCTTTTTCGACCCCAGAAACAGGTCTATTGTTTTTTCGTAGGTAAAGATGTTAAAAACCGTGCGTTCTCTTTTAAATTTTTCTGTATATTCTAGAATTTTTTTTTCATTAATTTTTTTCTGGTGGTTCTCAATTTAAAAAAAAATAAGTCAATTTTTTTTAAATTTTCAAAATTGAATAACTCGGTTATTTTGGACTTATTTGAAAAACGGGAAAGAGAAAATATGTTTCTTTTATCGAGATCTACAAGCCCTGAAAATGTTTGCACTTATATAAGACTCACCCTGTATAGGCACGTTCATTTATTAAAAAACTGAAAATTTAAAACTTATTTTTTTTAGCACCATGCTATTGTTTTGTTATAATCAAATAGAAACATTTCTTTAAATGTGGTAGAAAATGATTCAGTATTGAAAAAAAGAATTTCATACTTCCATTGTCTTTCATGGACATTCAACTAACACAACGTCAGACAGACCGTTATCAATAGTTTACACTTGATCACGGTATACAGGGTGGTCCGAACTGTATTCCGAAAACTTCGGCAGCATATTCTGCAGATAAAAATAAGTAAAAAATTTCGTATAAATATATGTCCTAAAATCTAAAATGCTTAGTTTAGGAGATACAGGGTGTAGAGTGTAGAAGTTTCATTTTTATTTCGATTTTCTCCAAATAATTTCTGAATTAACGTCAATATTTGGATGAAAATTGGTGTCTGATAATTTTTTGACATGAGAAACTTGATTTTGATGTCAATATGACTCCTATTTGTAGGGGGTGCCACCTACATGTATTTAAACTGTTTTGAAGAGTATAACAACTTTTCGTCCGTAGCTGTATAAAACTACCGAGTGAAAAAATATACATTTCCATGGTTTTTTACGTAGAAGATGTCTCTTGGTAAAAAATCGCTACCGTTCTCACGATATTTAGAATGGAAATAGCCAATACATGTCATTATCGACAAAAAATTGAGCAGATTTTTGAGAAACACGTTGAGCAGATAGTTATTTGATTGAAATAATAAAGGGAAATTTTTATTTTTTTAAATTATTCCCAAATTTTTCTTCGAAAAAATGATGATAAAACAGTTTCTGTTAAACTTTTGACACAAAAATATTTCAAACTTATGATTTTATGACATGTTTAATTCATGTCAATAATGACAGGCATTGATAATTTCGATTCCAAATATCTCGAGAATTATTAGTCGTAGCGGTTTTTACCAAGAGACCTTTTTTTACATAAAAATGTCGTAAATGTATAATTTCTTTACTCGGTAGTTTTATACAGATACGGACGAAAAGTTATTACTCTTCAAACCAGTTAAAAAATATGTAGGTGGCGCCCTCTACAAGTAGGAGTATTGTTGACAACAAAATCAAATTTCTCATGTCAAAAAACTCCCAGATACCAATTTTCTTCCAAATATTGACGCTACTTCCGAAATTATTTGGAAAAAGTCGAAATAAAAATGAAACTCCTACACCCCGTATCTCCGAAACTAAGCATTTTAGTACATACATTTATACAAACTCTTTTGCTTATTTTTATCTGCAGAATATGCTTGCGAAGTTCCGGAATACAATTCGGACCACCCTGTATATTCACATATCACACAGTGAGAATCCTAATTTCTTTAAGTACAAGAAAGAACATGTTGATGCGTATACATTAGTTTAATTTTCAGATTTTGCTATTTTCAAGCACAGACAATTATAATAAATTATTGTTTTCTGTTTCCAACTTAACCAAAGAATAACTCCAACAAATGACAGAGGATCATTCTATTCAGAGTGACATTTTCTATCGAATAAAGTTAAAAAATACCGGGGGTATCATTTAAAAATCAAAAGTTGTAGTCATTTCCGGTGAAACCGGAAGTGACCAAAAACAATTGAATACGTCAATCAATCATAATTTATGTCATATACTCATATACCACATCTCGTTTTTTTAACTAAAAAAATAAAAAAGTTATAGGGGTGAGCCACTTTTGAGACTCATCCGGTATATAAATAAATTATAGGAAAAAGTTTTGAAGAAGATCTATTAGTCATTTTAAGCATGCATTCCTGTTCGGATCCTATCAATCAAATTCCCATTTATATTTATCTTTTCCTGGTATTACCTCAAGTAGGCAAGCTTGAGTCATATAAAACTCAATAAAAACTTAATAATGTGTCATTTGACTAATGTGACTATAATTTTTTGGAAGTTTATCTAAAAAATTAAAATCATTAATACATATATGTTTAATGTAAAAAACTGGACTCATTACTCATGTAGAAAAGACACTAGGTTCTTCTATTATATAGTAAAAATGAGAGTTTAAAAGAATATTGCAGCAGCTAATAAAATGAATCGTAAATCACGTTTAAAATGTTCATACTATATTCTAGATGAATCACATTTATGGCTAAAAAACTTCAGGATTTTTTCTTATAGTACGGCTGTAGTAAGATTCAAAGCCATAAATGAGATTTTTCCCATGTTTTTAACATTTTATGACCTATTTCATAAAATAAATAAATTCTGATGTATTTTTAAAATGCATAATTTGTAAATAATACCTGCAGTTTTCAGGAATTAAAATTTATTAGTTTCTACATACGCATTTTTAACTTCACAAAATAACTCGGGAGCCAGCGAACGATTTAGATGATCAAAATCTAAAAGTATAAGCTGAAACATTCGCTGCATGAAATCTAAGAAGTCTGAAACTAGAGCAGTTAACCAGATAGAGAAAGTAATTAACCACATAGAGAAACAAATTATTACAACAGAAACCAATATTCTATCGACATGTTCATAATGCTGAAGTAGAAATAAATGTAGTCAAAAGTCATAATCAGCTCACTCTGCGTATTGTGAGATTGTGTCTCAGCTTTCAACGTCAAGATTTGTCTAGTCAAACTTAGAGCGTTACTAATATGTACATTGTGTTCATTAAACATTTGGCTGTTTAGATAAATTTATAGAGATACCTAGTAATATGTGCGTTGTGATCATCTCACGTCAACATCACCAGTACTTAGTATATTATTTTATAAATTTTATCAGAAAGCTGAAGCGTAATCTTTGAAACTGCAATCAGCTGATTATGATTTTTTTGGTAAGTATCGGCATATCTAGATAAAATCAGCTTTTGTTATCAGTCATCAAAATTACTGTTGTTGAACTAAAATTTAGATACAGGTATCCATAGAAATAAATTTTAGGTTATGTAAAATAACTAAACACAAACGATCGCTGGCTACTGGATTAAAACTTGTTAATGAAAGTACATTGATATATTTCCTAATCATATTATGCACTCAAGTGTTCTAACATCCTAACCATATTTACAATATAATATAATAAATATACATATTTCCCACTATAATTTAGAATCTCCTCGATTAGCTAATACTGAAAATCTTTACATTCATTATAACAACAAAATATAAATCACTATAATGTCCTTCTCCATTGGAAAAGAGAGTATATAGAGTTTTAAGGAACTTGAAAAATTTAAACGTTCTTCTATGTTCTTTGAAGATGTTTCACTCGCGTTCATTTATCACTAATGACCAAGTTCTTTGGACAGTCCTCATCACTAACAATTGCTTTCTTCTTGAGAATGCCCAAATCCTGGACGTTTTCCAGGAAACTCTTGTGGGCGGATAAGATTTTGGCGCTTTCCACGTCTTTCTTCAGTTCTTCCATGTCCCGCTTTAACTTGGCCCGTCGGTTCTGGAACCACGTGATGACCTGGGCGTTAGTTAGACCTAAACTCTGGGCTATTTCGTCACGATCGGCCGGACTGAGGTACTTCTGGTAGAGGAACCGCTTTTCCAGTTCGAAAATTTGGTGGTTGGTGAAAGCGGTGCGTGATTTTCGTTTCTTTTTCGGTTGCTGTCGGGAATTGAACATGCTCATGTTTTGGCCATCTGAAAATAAGAAGAAAAATATTAGTCACATTGCTTTATAACAGAATGATTTATAAATAAATAAAATATAGTAAACGCTGAAAAGAAGATTTTGTCAAATATAATACATAGGCATATTGATCAATAATCTTTTTGTCTTTAAATTAATTGAATAATACTTCAAACAATGTTATACCATTAAATTATTAAATATCTAATGTAAATCAACTGATGAAACTAAATCATAGACTAATCTTTGATTCACAATCTACTTGCTAATTTGAGATTTGCTTGTAAGTGGTAGATAATGATGAATTAAGCAATAAAATGTATTTCTTAATCGCCTCAAAACACAAAAACAACTCTACGAAACATATGAATAAGAAAAATAAAATCTTCTGTCTGCCGTTTCTCTGTGTTCTTGACTGTAGAGATAATGGATCCATTAGCACCACTATACTGGGTGTTTCTCAAAAGTAGCCCACCCCTAAAACTCTTTTTGTTTTTTCAGATAAAAAAAACAGATTTGGTACGTTAGTTATTGAAATAAATCAGAATTTATTGCCGAATTAAATTATTCTCACACTTCCTGTTTCTTCGGAAATGAAAGTTTTGATTTTTAAATGGTACCCTCGGTATTTTTTTTTTTACTTTATTTGATGGAAAATGATATTGTCCAGAGAAGAACATATCATATGTCATGTCATGCCAATTAATCCTAAATTATGTCATATACTAACATACCAAATTTAGTTTTTTCATCTCAAAAAATAAAGAAGTTATAGGAGTGACCCACTTTTGAGAATCACCCGTCGAATAATTCTCAAATAACCAAAATAAGAAAAGTTTCCTTCAGAATTGTTATTTTAAGAAGTTTCTAAACACAATTATGGCGAATTGTAAAATAGAATCATTAGAGCACAATCTTGAAAAACTGTTTTTAAGACCGAAAACACCACTGACACAAGAAAATGAGTGCATCTACCAAGTATTTTGTGAATGCGGCGAGTTGTATTTTGAAAACACAAACCGTCCTCTAAGTGACTTATCAAACATACAAAACATAAGCAAACAGGTAAAACAATGAAGTCAGGTATTTCAGACCATGTGTGGTTCAAGCACCACAGCATAAAATGGCCAAAAGAAAAAGAACATCTTTAGCTATCCTATTAGCAATATTATGGAAAATTCCATAATATTGCAACCACGTATCAAACCTACTAATACTGGCGTCCTCAGTCCCAGACTTCTATGTTTTTTTATAATTACGTTTAACTGCACCCAACTCCATTACGGGAGAATGGCATAATCTTTAGGTTTTATAATTAAATTTGTTTTAGCTCAGTAGTTTTAGAATTTAGATTAGTTCACACTTCATAACGGTCAGTGAACGAAACGTGGTGTATTTTTTTCAAAACTCAGATATTTAATTTAATAAATTTGGAGATATCTACATCCTTGTATAGGTCTAAAAAATAGGGAACAATATAAAATCATAAGTAAAGGTTATGCACACAAACGAGTACAGTTTGCACGTATATGTTAAACGTCAATATAAAAGCTCCCCCTCCCCTGATAATGTAAAAATAGTTTCCGTTTTTGTTGAATATTCTTATTATGTCATTGGCTAATATTACATATTACAGAAGGAAAAAATTAGTCGGTAAGCCCTCAACAAACTCTTAACCGTATACACCAGTGTACACTATTTTAGACATTCACACTTATACATAACAACCACACCTACATCAGTGTACACTAGTGTATCTGCCTTCCAGCATTATCAGTACGGTAAGGAATCAGCAAGCGATGACAACGATGCAAAAAAATATAAACCAGGAAGAAAACGATGCACGGGGCACCGTCTGCAACCTAGTAGATGAAAAAAAAAAGGATTGTGTATACGGTTACGTGTTTATTGAGGGCTTGCCGATTAATTTTTTTTTCTGTTTTTATATATTCCCCTCACTATTTTATTTTTTTTTGTTTTGACTTCGGCTAAGGGTATTGCGGCGGGTTGCTGTTGGCTACCTCCGCAGCTCTGATAGACGAAGCCCACAATCCTGGGCGACTCTAGTTATAGGCTGCAAATTGGGGCTTTAGGATCCCGTTTGCTCCTTTTGTTTTTCTCTCTCGTTATCCTTTTTTTTTCATCTTCTAGGTTGCAGACGGTGCCTCGTGCCTCGTTTTCCTCCTGGTTTATATTTTTTGGGATCGTTGTCATCGTTTGCTGATTCCTTACCGTACTGATGATGCTGGAAGGCAGTTACACTAGTGTACACTGATGTAGGTGCGGTTGTTGTGTGTAAGTGTGAATGTCTACAATAGTGTACAGGGTGGGTCAAATTCGACGCTTTTAAATGGAAACACCCTTTTCTATAGGAGATAGACAAAAACTAATATCGGTGTCTGGAGCTCAATTTTTGTCAAAAACATGATGGTGAAAACCGCATATCGATATTTGTTACCGTTTCGGAGTTACGAGGGTGTTTTTCAAAAATATGCATTTTTAACAAATCGCTGTAACTTTTATGCTATGGAAAATTTTGTATTTTTATGAAAACATTTTCAGAGCACCTTTTTACGTAGAATTTAATGGTTTAAGTATAATTTTTTAAAATTAGTAATTTAAGAATTATCAACAGAAAATTTGATTTTTTATATGGGACACCCTGTATATTTGTAATTTATTGAAAAGAATTTAAAATTACATTTCTAAAAATATAACACACTTGATATTTTGCTCGATTCCTCTTCGAGATATAGAGTATATAAAAATTCGCCGGCTTTAAATAAATAGGCTTTGAACGGCAACGGCTGTAATGCAAAAAATTCTAGCTGTGAGCATCAATTAAAACGAAAATAATATTTGCTATGAGAGATGCAAAATTTTATAACAATTTAAAATATATTTAACCAACATCAACACATTTAAACTATATCTAATAATAATAAAAATAAATAGCAAACCAGGGCATGAGATTTTGCTACAGGTGTTCGTCATATCGACCGTCTTCTGTTATGGACAGACGGGGCAGTTTTTGAACATTTCTCGCGAAATTTATTAACTCAGTGGGGTGAAAGATACCCTCTCATAACTGCTAAGTATTTTTAATTCTTGTCTAGATTATACGGAAGAATAAGGAACCTTTATTCTTCCGGAAATATATCCATAGGATTAGATCCATGGGTACTAAGTCAGGCGGCCATCGGCTGGGATCTTGGTTAGCTATCCAATTATTCTTGAAATTGGCTGCAAAAATTTGCTGATAACTTCAGCGTTCAGAGGCGGTGCGTTGTCTTGCTGGAAAAATATGTTTTCGAGTTCCATTAAGGGCTTATTATCAATAAGGGGTCCAAAGCCTATTAGTTAAAAGTGGCGAACTTTTAAAAGTGTGCTATATTTTTGGAAAGGTAATTTTAAATTATTTTCAGTTAATTAAAAATATAGAGGATGTCCCAAATAAAAAATCAATTTTTCTGTTGATAACTCTTAAATTATTAATTTTAAAAAAATTATACTTAAACCATTAAATTCTACGTAAAGAGGTGCTTTGGAAATGTTTTCATAGAAATACACAATTTTCCATAGCAAAAAAGTTACAGCGATTTGATAAAAATGCACATTTTTGAAAAACACCCCGTAACTCCGAAACAGTAATAGATATTGATGTGCGGTTTTCACCATCATGTTTTTGATGAAAATTGAGCACAAGACACCGATATTAGTTTTCGTCTATCTCCTATAGAAAAGGGTGTTTCCATTTAAAAGCGTCGAATTTGACCCACCCTGTACACTGGTGTATACGGCTACGAGTTTCTTGAGGGCTTGCCGACTAATTTTTTTCTTCTGTTTTTATATGTTCCCCTCACTATTTCAATTTTTTTATTACATATTACATTTTTACATAAAATATCATTATTTATTAGTTAAAATTAATATTTATGTTAATCGTCACTATCTGCAATCCATAGTCATCGTGATCATAGTAATCACTAATCAGTATCTTGGATACGTAGGTACGTATGTATCGTGTATATGTGTTAAACTTTTTACTAGGTTCCACAACATAATGCACTAATATTGTGGGATTGTCTAAGTGCTCTAAATCTATTGGATGAGCGTAGCAATGTTAGCCTTGGCACCAGAGCAAGAGGGTCACAAAGAAATTATTGCACAGGGTGTTTTAGAATTTGGGTAAAAAAACAAACCCTCTATGAACCCTGTATAATATTCCAAATACTAAAGTTTATGAAAACCTGAGTTTACGAATTAAAGCTGATAAAATTATATACCGCTTGCTAAAAAATCATGAAAATAAAGCTAAAAATAACAAAAATAATTTAACACTTTAAAAATTTGACCAAAAATTTCTACGTTGCGTTTTTTGCATCTGAGTGTATTTAGTTAAATTGCAAAATTAATAAATATTATACTATCTTTTTAATATAATAATATAAATAAAAATAAATCGATTACATTTTCACTCGCATCAATCCTCCAATCTCCCTCTTTATACCCCGGAGAGTGATCTAAGGGGTCATTTACACTTAGACAAGTCGAAGGTATCCGTTCGGAAAATCATATTAAGCTTTATTGGACGGTTACTGTTTCCCCACGTGAAACCATTAATACGTATTAAGTCAATATCGCGTCACTCCCCATTATTCTCATCCCCTTGGACAAACAGCGGTAATGCGCCGCTTAGCGACTGCGAACAAATCGACAGTGATTTTATTGGGCTCTGTTGCCTGGCAGGAATCTAATCACTGCGAATTATGAATCGTCATTAAGTAGGAGCGATTTTTCTAGTTGAGAGTGTGTATTAATCGTGATTTACAGCTGGCTAACAGAGCTGATGTGTGTAAAAAATGGTACAATTATTGATAACCTCAATATTAAAATATTTTATTAAACTACCAGCTGACCCGGCTTACTACTTTTGTACCGCCTACCGGTGAAGTAAGGATTTTTTGTCACTTGTGGTGCGGATGACTGATTGACTGATATTATACAGGGT